AAAAGTTTTGAGATTTTGAGATATTTATCTCCCATTCTTTCACTTTTTCTGACATTTTCAACACCAAACATGTCGTTAATGTCTCTGTTTAGTGAACTACAGCAATCTGAAAGCCTGTACATTATTTATATCANTTCCCAAACTATAACAAATAAAAATGACACTCCATAGACACTGGACTCGACTTTTGGTGGACACCGTTTGCAGCGTGTCTGTGATCGCATCATACAAACAGTCCTCTGTGTTTCTGAAAGAGAAACAACGTGCAGAGGAAAGGCAGCGTTACCCCCGGGGCTGATGGGTAATCACTCCCAAATGAGTTTAAGGCATGGATGTATAATTTAAGGGAACAGAGACGAGGCATTTGAGTCCTGCAGGGTTTCCCCGTTAATATCAGTGTCTCGAAAACACATGTTGGCGACTGAAAGACATCCAGTGTTTGGTCACAAAAAAGTTTTGAGATTTTGAGATATTTATCTCCCATTCTTTCACTTTTTCTGACATTTTCAACACCAAACATGTCGTTAATGTCTCTGTTTAGTGAACTACAGCAATCTGAAAGCCTGTACATTATTTATATCACACTTTATCAGTATAAAAATGCAGGAAATGACTTTTTTAATGCAGTATTTTCTGATTTATGGCGCAACACAAAGATATTTCGCTCTGTGCAAAACTTTGACTCTAATATGTCAACAACATGAAACAAGAACCTGTTCACACAAGACTTCTACATCCTGACACATCCTTCATCTACACTGTCTCAACTGAAAGAGGACCAGAAACACATTACAAATATAATAAAATGTGGAGACTTTGGGATATTTATCTCCCATTCTTTTACTTTTCGGGCATTTTACAGACCAGATATGTCGTTGCTGTCACTGTTTACCAAACTACCACTTTTTCTGAAAGATGCATAAAATGATGCAATAAATACATGGTTTATACGTGTAATTACTGGGGTTCCATTTCTTCTGATTACCTCATTTGGGCGTGCACATTTGGGCGTGCACATTTGCCGCGCGCAAACCTACCTCTTTTGGATTTGGCAAAGTTGGCATGTATGTTAATGTGTGATTTTTAGATGCGCTGGTAGGTTTTTTTTGTACTTTTGGACAAAGCCAAGATAGCTGTTTGGAGTTTCCAGTCTGTATGCTAAGCTAAGCTAAGCTAACCAGCTTCTGGCTCTATATTTTTAGCGCATAGTGCTGTTAATCTTCTCATTTACTTCTCAGGATGAGTTTATTTCCCAAAATGTTGGCCTTAAATATCCATAGACCAACCATTGTCAAAAAGAATGGGTCAACTCTTCTAAATGAAGGGTAAAGACCTTATTTCTCATTTCCTTAGATATCAGTTTCAATGCTTCAACCTCAGACTCACTTCACTTTTATGAACCTCTTTATATGATAGCCTCCAAAAAGCAACATCACCTTATCTGCCATAGACTGGTAATAACTTACCTTCACTTCGTATGTTGGCCTGAATGATACTGTCCTGAGCTGCACTGGAGTAAATAGACACTTTCAAAGTCAGTATCATTTTTCCTCGGTGTGGAGCGAGGGCTGTGTCCCTGAAGCGAGGCTATCCAGGAGGAGAGAGCGATACAATCAACGGACGGCCTTTTCCCGGCTGTTAGGAAGTGAGGGATGAGCGGGAGAGAGGAAAATGAGTTGAGAAATGTTAAAAGGAAAATAAGGACGCTGCGACACAAAATGTACCAAACTAAATGATCATTTTCTGTTTGCTTTGGTCAAACTTTCCCACATCTGCAGAGAGATTGAAGGATGGAGAACGATGAGAGGAATACAGATAAAGCTAGGAGGACATTTTTAGTGGATGAATGTGTTTCTGGGCTCCATGATGCCTTTAGTTAATGACTGGTGCATATGTCAGCCGTGCAGCTGTGCAGTTACAATCAGCCAGGCAGCTGAGGAAGAGAGATGGAAAGGAGAGAGCGAGAGAGAGAGAAAAGGGGAGAGGCGCACACACAGATATAAAGTATTAAGAAGAAAGCAAAGAAAACAGTTCTGCTGAGGGAAAGGAGGCGAGATACAGATAGAGGGTTTTGAGCGAAATAAACAGAGAGGCATCCCGAGGGAATAGAGAGAGAAGGAGAAGTTGCCAAGATAGTTTCCATTCTTCTCATCCTCCCTCAACTAGCTGAAGCAGAAATGGCAGAGGCTGCAGTCCAAATCATTACTCTCAGCTGCCTTTCTGGAAAGTATTTACTGTTGTCAATACCAAACAGCAAAGAGACGTGTATGAAAAGGGACGAAATGACTCAAATAGTGGAAAGATAGCATTTTAATGACAGACTTCTCCGCCGTGGATTCGTGAAAGAAATTAGCATATTTCTCTGGGAGCCTTTTCACCTCCACCACCTTTGACTTTGCCTTTCCACCCCGAGCCGTCCTGCCTGTCCTGGCCCATCCTTGGCCGTCCTCCATCAGCTCTGGGATGTAAGCCTTTAAGAGCCTCTTCTCCCTCCAGTAAGAGCTTTAAGGCAGAATGTGAGTGGAAAGCAGTTTTTTGGGGACGAAGGATCAGAGCTGGATAGAAATAGGTACAGATCCAGAACAGGAGGAAGCGCGTGACCTTCGATTGTCCTGGCTTCTTGTTGCCCCACAAAACATCCACAGTATCTCCGACGTGGGCCTTTTTGTGAGGCAAGGACACGGGTTTATTGTGCGTTGGTTATTGCTTACGACAATGTTTGCAGTGTTGGGTACGCAGGTGTAAAGCAGAAGGGTTGTATCACCTCTGGAGTTGTGTTGAAAACATGGATTGATTTAAATCCAATGCACCAATATAAATGTGTACCCACTAAATACTATTGATTCCTGTTAGTCATTCCTTGTCTTGCATATTGGCTACTCTCATCGGTTTGTGAACTACAGATCCAAATAGCTCTGTTAGACCGGGTAACAATGAAACGAATTTCAATAATCGATTCATCACGTAGGTCATTAGCATCGAGCTTCTCAAAGGTCAACATTTTCTGTCTTTTGGACTGAAAAAAACACGTTTCCCATACATCCGTTTGGGACCCCTGGGATCTCACTATGGCTATTTTTGTGACATATATCATGTACTTTACACAACCAGGAAAATGATTGTACGTGCAGCTTTGGATTAATATGTTGCATGGTCACGTTATCACTGAGCCTTTTGCATACTGCTGACTGTCAAACCCTCGGCTTTGTGTGACAGTCATACCTGACCTCCATTCTTCTTTTTGTGTGTTTCTGCAGGCAGACCCGGGAGCAGGAGACCCCCCCAGACTTCTTCTATTTCTCTGACTTTGAGAGACACAACGCAGAGGTCGCTGCCTTTCATCTGGACAAGTGAGTCACCATCAGCCATTCTCAGTTTCATTTCAAACCTTTATTTAACCAGGTGAATCCCATTGAGATCATCGGTCTCTTTTTCAAGGGAGACCTGCTGCAAGTAGGTTCCACATGAAGACATAAAAACATAAAACAACATAAGAACAAAAAGGACATCATACAACATAGATACAGGGATTTACAATTTACATACCTAACGACATTTAAGGTACCAACAGTATCAGATTGCATAGCATCTACTGTATCCAAGCTTTAAAAACATGCAGTGGAACCAAATTGCTCAGTTTCCATTATTTTTGCAGACTGTTCCAAGTTAGAGTTGCTGCGCACCTAAGACAGTCCTAGCACTTGGCACATTTAACAAAACCACAGCATGAGATCTCAGGCAATAGCTACTTTCTGCCGTGTGATCAGAGAGCAGATGTAAGATGGTAGTTCACCTAATATGGCTTTGTAGATGAACATGTACCAGTGACTGAGCCTCCGTACAGTGAGTGAAGGCAAACCTGCCCTGGCATACAGGGTGCAGTGATGAGTTAATACTTTACAGTTAGTAACAAATCTCAGTGCACTGTGATAGGCGGCATCTAACTTGATCAGGTGGGCAGGTGCATTCATATAGATCAGATCTCCATAGTCCAGCACAGCTAAAAAGGTCACAGAGACTTTTCCTGGCCTCAAGTGTGGAGATCTGATCTATATGAATGCACCTGCCCACCTGATCAAGTTAGATGNAGCATGTGTCCCCTCTTCTTCATGTCTCTTCTACATCAGCATGTGTCCCCTCTTCTTCATGTCTCTTCTACATCAGCATGTGTCCCCTCTTCTTCATGTCTCTTCTACATCAACATGTGTCCCCTCTTCTTCATGTCTCTTCTACATCAACATGTGTCCCCTCTGTGTAAAGAGACTCTGAAAGTTTCAGGAACAAAGATTCTCTCTCTTTTTGTCCTGATCCATTTTTATAAAAACCTGTCTGAAAATGAGCTGATCAGATTTTGGCCACTTTATGATGTCATAACGAATAACCATTAGCCAATCAGCAACCAAGGTACTTTTTTCGATCTGAGACCTATAATATATTGAGGAAAAACGGTATAATAGGGGACCTTTAAATATCCCTGTGTGTGGTTCTGATGACTTAATTTGAATTCTTCTTAACGTACACACCTCAGATATCTTGCTCATGAGTTAACGCCCTCAGTATCTGTCAGTGAGTGTAATAAATATCCTAGTGAACCCCCAGTGTCTGTGTGTTCAGGATGATTCTCTTACTCTGCCTTCTTGCGTTTGTGGTAGGAGCGTCTCCACGGGTTCCTCCAGGTCTTGCGTTTGGCGAGCGCCAGGTCAGGCAGGAAGGCGGCGAGGGATCCCTCGATCTGGTCGGGTTTCCCACACAGAGCGTGCTCAGTGGAGCAGTAGTACGAACACTCTCCGTAGAAACACACGTTGTTGGCTGAGATTTGGAGAGAGAACACACGTAGTTGCAGGCTGATTTCTGCTAAAAACTGGTTAAAAATTGACTGCAAGGTTTATTTCATTCTGCAACTCTGTGGTAAATACTTGACTAGTACACCCTCTTTCCTTTTGAAATGCACACCACATCATTTAAAAGCCCCTTCACAAGATTCAAATTACCTGGAGACATTCAGTATTAATTGCTGAGATTGTCAGTAATTTGAATCCTGTGAAAGTTTTCCATGTGTATAATATGTAAAAAGTTGCATCGTTAATTAACTCTCCTGCTTAGGCGCAAGCTAAAGTCCCCAGATAATACTAATCCCATGCAAATTAATATTACAGTCATTCAGGGCACAGAAGTAGCTTTGCACGGCATTATGACGCAGGACACTGGTCCCTTTTTGCTTAGCTTGTAGGATGAGAAAGGAAATAGTTGAAGGCTGCACAGATGTCATTTAATTATTAATTATCTCCTGAGACCAACACATAATCTGGATTGATGCTTCTAAAGCAGCGTGAGTCCCACAGTTTCAAAGAGACTGATTTGCAGTGTTTTTCAATAATTATTTGTTTATAGTACAAATCAACCTCAAGGATTTCTTGGTTAAAGTGTTTTCCTTGTAGTTGTGTCGCTAAAAACCGATAAATGCACTTCTTCAGCTCGTACCTGGTGAAATAAAGAAGGTCCTCCAGAGCTTTTTGTCTCGTGTCACATCTCGGATCTCCTTCGTCATGTTGAGCAGCCTGCCGGCCACCGGAGGGACGCGTCGGAAGTCCAGGATCCTGCAGGACAGAAGCACTGAGGGGTTAACTCAGCTTCAGAATAGGTCTCACACACAGATTATTAACAAACAACAAAACAATTGTAGGCGTCCGAAAATCGCAATCCTTCACCGAGTCAATATCTTTATCTCTATAAAGATGCCCATACATTTACTTGGATATCAAAGAAAGAAGGCACTCCCTGAGCTTTTAAAACTTTCTATAACAACAAATGAATCCAATGATAGTTGTCTGTAATCCTATTGGTAACAAAAATAGCTAACAGCTAGTTTTACAAACTTCTAGTGGTGCCAGTTTAACAACAAATCTGATATTTTTGCTTTATTTTACATATTTGGAAAATAATTGAGGGTTTTAACTTTGACTAATCACCCAAAGATCTACCAATGAAAATGTTTTCAAAGTAGAAAACAGATCACCCCAGATGGGACTCGAACCCACAATCCCTGCCTTAGGAGGGCAGTGCCTTATCCATTAGGCCACTGGGGCGGATGCAAAACATTTGGTTGAAAACCTGATGGTAGTTTTCTTCAACTGCCAAAAGGGGGCACTGTGACATAAGATCTGTTCTGATACTCACACCCCCGGAGGTAAACCTCTGTGTGGTTTTTATGTGGCTATCAGTCTACATCAAACACATTTTAACTTCCTCCCAGCTTTCTGGTGAAATATATCTCCGGGTGTGTGTTTTATTGAAAGATGGCATGACCGTCTTCCTGTGTTCTGTTTTATTCATGAGTCGTCAATACCACCCAGCCACAGCATCAGCACGGCCTCTTTAAACATTGATACCCCTGACAACACCTGAGGGCCAGAAAGAGAGATTAAAGATGGAGGAGAGAGAGAGATGTTAACCAAGAGCTGCTCGTATAAATGATCCCATCAAGGAGTGTGGCGTGTGGAGCGAGACAGACACACACATAGTGTCTCGTTCCTGCACACAGCGAGGCCTGCTGGGCCCGGGCCGGCTGCCATGCTGAAGGAGCAGCTTCATCACTCTTTTCCTCCATCCATGTCCCGTTAATAAACCACATTCCCACAGAGGACATTTTAAACTTGTTTTTAAAAGCAGACATGTACGTTCTCCTCATGTCCTGTGTCCCATAGATGTTGGTTGGATGTAAAAGACCTTTCATCATGGCTTCTTTACTTTTGACATTTCAATGTTTTATATGTGTTGTTTATATTAATCTATATCTGGCATGTTTCATATGTTCACTGTAATGGGGAAATAGTAGTACATTTGCACTGTAGCAAAATGGAGAAACAGTAAGTCCCCTTTGCTTTGATTTTAATCATCACTAAAATGTTGTACTTTAGTGAGATGAGATAAGACAAACCTTTTTTTAAACCCCGTAGGGAAAAAGATGGAATAGCAAGAAAGATTTGTGGGGATTTATCTTGTTTGCTGTTGTTTTTAAGTCTTTTTTAAAACCAAATTTTGATATGCTAAGTGCTTAGATAATGACTGTTTATCCTAATATTTCTGTATATATTTTCATATGAATCCCCTATATTTGACATCTACATTGTATTATACAGTATGACAAATGCATGTGATGAATTGGAAGCTATATGTGGTTAGATCATTTCAGGTCACGTCAGTCCTGTATGTCTTTGTACCTGCTCACTCTCCTTTCCCATCGCCTAATGCAGCAAGAGCACTTCCCATTTAAATCCAATCACATAATTAATGATGCTTAAAGCAGTGTAGCCCGTATAAGAAGAGACAGTGGCTGTGTGTGTGTGTGTGTGTGTGTGTGTGTGTGTGTGAAAATGTATAGAACATTTTTGTATGCCTCTGGAGGTGACACAATAATTTGACACAAATGTGTTGTGTATTTAAGTATGTGAATTGAATGCAGAAAAAAAGGCCAGATGATGTTGAGTTAAAGGTCACCAGTGATTGGTGTGTTAACGAAGACAAGTTCATTCTTTATGCCCGCAAATATCACCTCTGCTACAATTTATGCCTAAATGACTTTTTCACAGTTTTCTCCTACTGGTTTGAAATGTGAAATACATGTTTAATTAAAGGGTGCCTATGAATACCATGTATCTATCTTATTGTTGCAATGTATTCCTTGTGCCACTTAACTACATTTCCTCTTAATCACTACAAAATGTTTATGCATAAAACACAAATGTTTGGTTATTTACTCTGTAATAATTGTTTGTGTTTTTAACAGAAACTGGGATTTGCTAATGTTTTTAGCAACAACAATAAGTTTAACGGAATTTTTCTTTTTTGAGCAAAACATCAGGAAAGAAGCCTGCATTTGCCTCAGTCAGCTAGAAAACTGTCAACATTTCAATTTTCAAGGCAGTACTTTAAGCTGAAAGACTGTACTCAAATGTATGATTGTTATGCTGAAATGGCAGTAAGACCAAAATGATGATTATAATGGGCTTCAATGGGGATATGTTTGTCCTCAACGGTCTGAATGCATTTTGGCTGCACATTTGTAATAGATATATTACAGGAGCTGAGATAAGAAAAACCTGTACCTTTGCCAAAATGTATTTCATTTGCATTTACACAGCCAAAAATGTAAAAAAGCACATAGCCAAAAATATCCCTAGATAGATACAAAGATTAAACTCAGCGTAGGTTTTCATTTTATTGCTGAAAAATCATAGTTTGCCTTTCTTTCTCTTTTCAGTTTCTTGGAAACACAGAGGTTGAAGCCCCGAAAGGCACAGAGGTCGTAAAGGATGCAGTCAGAAAGCTGAAGGTAAAGCCAGTCCTGACTGTCGCCTGAAGGAGAACAAAACTCCTGTTCCTGAGAGGCCAAACAGATTGACAAATGATTTCCCCCTCATCAGTTACAGCAAGGTGCCCTTGGAGTCTCAGCTCCCAGTGTGGGTGCCTATAGCTGCTGGATAAGCTCAGCACAACCTTCCCCCAAGTAGATGCAGTATTCTAGAAAAGGGATATTTGTATGCCGTCAAACCTGTTGTTTCTCACCTTGGCCTCAATCCCATTAACCTAACATTTTCCCTCAAATGCCAACCTACTGTTTAGGTATAAAATGTCACTTTATAAAAGTGCAGGTACTTCATTACTCACTAACAGGACTCAGTGACACATGGTTAAAACTCTTGTCACTTCAAATTCCCTGCCACTGGTTCTTTCTGTGAGTTATGTGATCTAATTACTAAAGCCAAAATTAGCATAGGGAAAAAATGATTTCTTGAAACAATATAATCCTTTGATATTAAAATACACTGTGTTCATACCCCTTATGTGTGTAATTATGATATCATTGGTTAATGAATGCATTGAAAAAAAGTGAAAATGAATCTGAATACGTCAGGTGAAATGATCACTCATGAGCAAATGAATGCTCTGTGTGTGCTTCATATGTATATGGTCAAGTGGCCTCAAAAGAAGATATCTTTTAAGCTACATTTTATTTACTTTTTTGCCCACTTCGGGACAATTGAACAAGCTGTAATCCCAAAACGTTTTAAATTATCACATCATAAAGTCAATTTGGCCTTTCCAATTTCAGCTCTGTTTTAGGTTTCCACCACATTGAAAAAGTTGTGTTTTCTTCAGCTGCTGATTGTTCCACTAGATTCACCAGCTAGTCACCAATCTTAAGGTTGTGCCTGTGTACAAATGTTTAATATTCAATCAGAATGTTGCCACTTGGCAAAACAAGTTGGATTTAGCGCAGTGACAGTCTTCAGTTGCGTGCTTGTTCTTAATTTGGTCATGTCATACAGTAATTATAAATGAGAGTTCAACCAGTTTGCAAAAGCTCAAACTGGTTTAAGGTGACATCCAGACCCTACTTTACCTACTTTGTCTTCCAATTGGTGCTCCACAGGTAGGATCCATAACTCATCATCATTACACTGAAGTATATCTTTATTTACAGACGGACCATCATTTTTAAAAACTCAGACTAAATGTGGAAAGTAAACTCAACTTGTTTCATATTTTTGACATTTATTCATTGTAACATTGAAAAAACAGGGCCTAAAAAAAAAAGCATCCAACCTACTGTGAATAAAAAAATATAACAACTCACTTGTATAACCCTATAAACCTCTTGGAGAACATTAGAACGCCTTTTTATTTTAAATCATGTTTGTATTTTGACACCAGTTCATTGTTAAAAAAACAAATAGTTTGAGGAATACCAGAGAGGGGGGTAATTATTTTAACGTATACGGCAGTGTATTTTATAGTCACTTCAGACCAGAGGTGTGTGTTTCAGAGTTCAGGTCATAATGCAGCAGTCTCTCTCTCACAGCTTGTCAGTAATACATCTGCTCTCTCTCTCTCTGCTGGCCTGGCCTCTGTCCTCTGCTGCCAACAGTTGAATCTGTGAGGCCACTTGTAAGGGGAGGACTGTTTTCCCAAACCCACATCTCTATTGTTACACTACATTTGATCTTGAAGCCTGTTTTGAGACCGAGGCTCCATGGTTACTCTCCCAGATACAATGCCAACAGGCTTTAAAGATCATGTGAAGAGAATTGAGAGAGCCCTGCAAGACATTTGTCCTCTATGTAGGGCAAATAATTTAATCTCTCATCAGTTAGAATATAAGTGTTTTTTTATTATTACTTAAGATCCACAATAAATAAATAAATAAAACACACATTTGCTGTTCTCTTTCTTAGTCGGTTGTTTATATCAACAGACCAACATTTGTACATTTCTGAAATGATAGAAGCTCACCTCAATGCCTGACAAGGGCTTGGTTACAGTTGAATATATGATTTACTATAAAGCCTTAGAGTGCTGTAGTGTTAGAGGCTATTATCATCAAACACAGACACACTTTTGAAATGAAGTTGCACATTTTAAGTGATGCAGATTTAATCTTCGTTATAGTAGTTGCATTATATTTATTGATATACATTTGAAGTCATTATATGGTTTTATCAGCTTCCTGCAAGTTTCCAAAATGTCTCCTTGACTGACAGTGAGCACGACCCTTTTACAGACATTTATATTTGTTATTGGCCTTAATTCACCGCCAAGTCCTGTTGGTATTTATGTCCGTTGGCAAGATAACAGGGAAACACATCAATTGTTGTTTGGCAGTGTTTGAAAGAATGACCCACTGAATGAATCACAGATGCTTTTCATTTCCTTAGAGTTTTCTGTTTAACACTTGACCGTGATGATAATATCTGTCTAAACTAATTATAATTGCACCTAAAAGATAACATTTGGCTAATTTCTTCCTAAGTGAGTCAGCTGTTATTCATGAAAATAGCTCTAATAAACAAACAGTACATTAAACGATAATCACCAAACAGCAGATAGACAAGGTTACAAAAATAACAGTTGTTTAGCATAGTTGAGCATTCAGCTACTTAAAATACTGATATGTTGAGACCCAAACAGAGCTAAACTAAGAGTAACAATTCAAATTGCACATGTCTGAAAGCCAAAAACGACTTGATATGCAAAAGCGGTGTTATATATATAAACAGTCAATTGATTGCTAGCACGTTCACAGCACTTACTCAAACTCAACGACGGGCATAGATCTTTTGCTATTGACTCCTAAATGGATATATGTAAGACACTGGTAATGTTGCACAAAGGTAGATTTAGCCACGCAATCATGTTTAATGTTGTGAATTGGTTACATTTTTAGTTAAACGTGTGTATTTGTACATGCTTAGCTGAACTACTTGGTTTCTGTTTAGTCAAACATAGATGTCAGGGCTAAATGAGAGCATTTGTTACATAAGTAAGTATGTAACCTGAGTAGTTAATCATTACATTTGTGCTGCCAGTAACGTACGTGCTGTGGCTCAGTGGGGTAGTGTGCTTCGAATCAGAGGATAGCAAGTTTGAGTCCCACTGCAGTCAGCATGTCGTTGTGTCCCTGGGCAAGACACTTCACCCCAAATTGCTCCTGTGGGGATTGCCCACAGTATGTAAGTCGCTTTGGATAAAAGCATCAAACAAGTAACATGTAATGTAATGTAAGTTAACCCAGTTCCATAGTACTGTGTGTAAGTTCAAATAACTCTACAAAATCACCCATCCATCAACACCTACCTCCTTCCTACAAGGACTTTGTCGCTCTTTATTCGACGACATTTAGTTTCCTCTCTTTCTAAAGTCATATTTACTACCACCACTAGAGGTCTTCGCCTTACAATAACCCGAATATGGTTCGCAATCTGCTGCTTGCACAGACGACCTAAACACACCTTTTTTCTTTAAGGTTGGCTGTCGTGTTTGAGGTGAAAATGTGTTTTCATATCGGCTTTATTGTTGCTGTATAACTAGCATGTGTTTTTTGTTTGTGTATATTGTTGCTTGGGTAGAGTGGACACATTTTCAATATTTCTCTTATTGGCAGTTTCAGAGACATATCAAGAAGTCGGAGGGACATAAGACTCCAAAAGTGGAATTACAGATCTCCATTTATGGCGTGAAAATACTCGACCTCAAGACAAAAGTGAGTCTAAAGATTAGAATTGTGTTGATGCAAAGCTGTACATGACAGCTAAAGTTCTACTTACATCCAACACCATGTAGAGAAAGTAGTGTCCGTACATGAAGTAAATAAATAATAAATGTATGTGTTTTTCCAGGATGTGCTGTATAACTGTCAGTTACACAGGATCTCCTTCTGTGCCGATGACAAAACCGATAAAAGGATATTTACTTTCATCTGCAAAGACTCCGAGTCCAACAAACACCTCTGCTTCGTGTTTGACAGTGAGAAGTGTGTAAGTGCCTTCTGATCCTTCTCTTTCAGTGTATGTTGTACATTTTGATCGTCTGTCTTTTTATTTTTGAGATGTTGAAGTTACAGTCAATGCTCAATTCAACCGTAAACAAGCCATAGGGACATTTACGCAGATTACATAATTATATATAATATTGTTTCTCCACTGCTACAGGCAGAAGAGATAACTCTAACCATCGGTCAGGCCTTCGACTTGGCCTACAAGAAGTTCCTGGAGTCCGGAGGCAAAGATGTGGAGACCAGGAAACAGATCGGGACCCTACAGAAAAGAGTACGTCCCCCCTCTTCAGCTTGTTCATTCAGCTTCACACAGACTTCAATTTACTTTGAAAACTTGCACCGCCATTCTGACACATTGATATTTTAATTAATTAATGCAAGGCTTGTTTCTATTGATTGGTTTGAGTCACGCAGCGTGGATAATTAAACTGTGTTGATGAAGAATGTTGGTAATGAATATGAATGAGCTCTGTTGTTACAAGCTGTAAGTGGATTATTGTAAACCCTGCTGTAGTTATATTTCCCAGTGGTTTTCTTTAAATGTTGGCTTATTAAAACATTGATATGGATTAGAAAAATGAGGGACAGTGTAACATGTATATTAATGTTGACTGTCATTGATCAGGTGTTCTCAAAGGGATAAAACATTTGAAAGAAATTGCATTTAAATACAGCTCAATGTTTATTAAATATTATGCAATGATGTGCTCCCTAAATGGTCCCATCTCTCAATAGCAGGGTTAATGCTAACTAATAAATAGGTATCACAGTCGATTTAATGATTTTAGACACTACAATACATTTAGTTCAATGTGCTGTGACTTCTTAATGAACTGATTGCTCTTGATTTGATGCAGATTCAAGAACTGGAAACAGAAAACTCTGAGCTAAAGCAGCAGCTGCAAGACCTTGAAGAGCAGCTGATGATCTCTCATGAGCCACCAGTAAGGATACACACACACACACACACACACACACACACACACACACACATTCCATGTATACATCACACACCTTGTCAGATTAGGGATAAACTAAATGTATATTCTACATATTGAAGCTCTTNNNTTGATGTAGAAGAGACATGAAGAAGAGGGGACACATGTTGATGTAGAAGAGACATGAAGAAGAGGGGACACATGTTGATGTAGAAGAGACATGAAGAAGAGGGGACACATGTTGATGTAGAAGAGACATGAAGAAGAGGGGACACATGTTGATGTAGAAGAGACATGAAGAAGAGGGGACACATGTTGATGTAGAAGAGACATGAAGAAGAGGGGACACATATTGACGTAGAAGAGACATGAAGAAGAGGGGACACATGTTGATGTAGAAGAGACATGAAGAAGAGGGGACACATGTTGATGTAGAAGAGACATGGAGAAGAGGGGACACATGTTGATGTAGAAGAGACATGAAGAAGAGGGGACACATGTTGATGTAGAAGAGACATGAAGAAGAGGGGACACATCAACTCGTCTCATATGTACATGGAACCACACACAGAGATATTTAGTCACTGCATTCAATTGATCCTAATTCTCTCAGACTGAGCTGCTGCCGCCCCCAGCTCCATTTACTGTATATATTATATATAACATCCAATTAAAACTGACTGACATCCAAAGATAATAAAACCAACTGTACAGATCATCACTTAATTATAATCTAGTGATGATAATGATCTTAGTTCTCCAAATGATTACAAGAATTAATTGGAAAAACACTTTAAAGAACAAGTTGGATTTTTGGTGATGTGTTAAAGCAGCATACATTCAATACATTACATGAGAAGAAGATGTAACCCCAGTGTTGTCCGGGCAACATGAAGTCTGCAGATCTCTTGTTTCACCCACCTGTTTTAACCGCTCCTTGGCCAATGATAAAAACCCAAAAGCGTATCCATTTTATTCGTAGCACTTTAAAACGTTTGCCTTGTTCAAAGCTAATGTTATTGCAGGATCTTGCTGTTTTGAGTGTGTGTCTTCATGGCTGTTCCTAAGTGGCTTTGGTAAAAAGGCATCAGCTAAATGTGATATTTGAATGTCCTCAGATGGGAGGTGGACCCGGATTACTGTGAGGAAGTGAAGCAGACCCCTCCGTACGACAGCGGGACGCGACTGCTGGACATCATGGACATGACCGTGTTTGACTTCCTCATGGGTGAGAGTCCCTGTCCCACAATGGTCACTGTTAAGAGGTTGATAATGGGCAAACACTGATGGATTACACTTGTGGTCAAATTGTTTATCTGTACATTAAAGTACAAATTAAATCAATAAAATCAACAGGACACATAATTTAGTATTGCTTTTATTGTGCTCTCCTCAAAGCAACCAGAATGTCACCTCCCTGTATTTACATTTTTAGACTTGCTCAAACCTTTTCCAACAGTTAGGTTAGGTGTTTTGAGAGTTACAAGGTACAACTGAAGAAGTAATAGATATACAAAAGAAGTACTAGACTTGCTTTCTGGTGCAATCATACATTAATGTGATGTTGGCAACGAGGAAAGAACCAATGCCTATTAAAAGAGGGATTGGTAGATAGATGAAGAGAAACACATTTTGGTGGAGAAAGGCTATGACACGCCTAAGGTTTACTACACACACATGTGCTCTCCTTGTTTACCTCTTGGCTGAATAGTTTACTGTTATTCCCACACAGGAAACATGGATCGGCACCATTATGAGACGTTTGAAAAGTTTGGAAATGAGACGTTTATCATCCATCTGGACAACGGCAGAGGGTGAGTCACTGCTTTGTAACTCAAGAGGCTTCAGGAACGATTCAACTGCTTTCATTATTCCACTCTGCAGCAGTGCATCCACACAAAGGACGAGATCATTACAGCAATAATAATCTGCGGGTTACTGTGGATTGTTCACAATAAAATGACTCACAAACAGATTTTAAAATCATTACATGTCACTTGTTAGACGCAATTTGGGGTGAAGTGTCTCAGGGACACAACGACATGCTGACTGCAGTGGGGTTTGAACCTGTGCTCCCCTGATCCGAACATTGGTGTTCGGATCAGGGGAGCACAGGTTCAAACCCCACTGCAGTCAGCATGTCGTTGTGTCCCTGAGACACTTCACCCCAAATTGCGTCTAACAAGTGACATGNATTCCCCTTATTCCACAATAAGGGGGATGTCAACACAGACACCTGTCAGCCCACACTCTGCTGTTCCTCAGTGCCGCTCCCCCTCCCTCCCGCTGAAATTATGAATGAAAAGCATATAGTAATCAAAGATAACACGGCACGGTCCGTGACAGTTTGTTTTCATCTTGGTATTTAGAATATTAAACTTGTTTCGCCAAATTCAGATGATAAATACAACTTTTAAGCTTGTAAAGGCAAGCAGTAACTTAACGTCACAGCAGGCATAACAACAGCCGGTGTTTCTTGTGAGTGTTTGGCCGGGAAACCAACACAATACACACAAACGCGTCACAGATTATTTTGCGGTATTTGGCTGCCGAACGAAATCATGTACGCAGCTCGCGACGTAACTAGTAGTCTAGTGGACGGTATCAGTAGTACAAGTAAAAATAAAAAATAAATGTTGTTTATAAAATAATCTGAGGGCCGCAAAAAGAGGAGGTGGGGGCCGCCATTTGCCCATCCCTGGTCTAGAAGGTAAAGTTATCATTGGGAATTGAGTAAAGTTACCGTATAAGCCTTACATTACGAATGTATTTGCTTGCTAGTTTGCTTGTTAAGATGTCCTTTAACACTAGAACCGCCAGAGGTCGCTGTATGCCTAAAACCGCCAACGGGTCAAATTTACCCGCTATTGATTTTCAAGGTACAATGTTCTTTTATTTATCATGTAGAACAGTGAGTTTTGATCGCACAGGGATGAAATGTATACCAACATGCTCTGTGGACTCTCAGCTTTTCATATGATAGAGTTTGTGCAGATAGCATGAAGTATAAAATATCGCTACCAGTGCTGATTTAAACGCTTGGTGTTAGACTTGTGTTTTGTTTAGGTGCAAATCTCTCTATCTCTCTCTCTCTATCTATCTATAACTATCTATCAATCTATCTATAACTATCCATCTGTCTCTCTGTCTATCCATCTCTCTCTCTCTTCAGTCTGAACTGTTGTAATGTATTTTACTATTTATCTTCTGGAGCAGCTGATTTCTCTGCTGTGATGGGGGAAAGTTGCACTTTTCAAACTTTAATTTGAACGGGTTTCTCTGTGTTTCAGCCTTCCTGATTTGTTATTAATGAGTGGGGAGTGTTTATATGAAGTGACTTACGCTTCTGTCAAAGCCTGTCAGAACTGGTCCTGATACGAATAGAACTTGAAGTCAGACGCCGCACTGGAAACATGGCATGTGACAAAACACTTTCAAAGAAGTATTTTTCAAAAATCCAACATTTCTTGGAGGACAGTACTGTATAACTTGGCATCACCTCCCAGTCTGACAGGGTTTTCTGCTTAATTTCGGCAGAGGGCATCTCTCCTGTGAGGCGATGTATCTGTCAGCCTACTTCGTCTTGGTTTCTAGAAATGTTTTGAAGGGAATGTGTTAAAAGAGCTCCTAAATGACTGCCTTATATGCAGCAAACTAGAAGGAACCACTGGCAGAAGACACGTCTCTAATATCAAAGCATATTGTCAGTTCTTACTGTCTCCAAATTGTCGGCTTCCACTGAGATGTTGCCTTTCTCTGTATATTTGCTAAAATCTGAGTATAGCACTCATCACTGAAGGAATTGGAGGGAATGAGTCAGCCAAATTCTCCCTGCTTTAAAGCAGTCAGAATGTCTTAAACAGAGCCTGCTTAGTTATTTGCTGTATCTTGTAGCTGTGGTTAGAAAAGAGAAGGACCCCTGAAGAAAAGACAGAATTCTTAAATTATTCGATCCATTCATTCAATGAGATCATAAAACTTCTCTATGTCTTGAATCACTTTTGATTTGATGGCACTACTGAACTACCTGTTGTATTTTACCTCTTCTCATGATCCTGAAGGTTTTCCCCCAGGTGTTCCGGAAGTAAACCGAAGATAAAGTGTGATTTGTGGTGCATAATGGAAAGCTGGGCTGTAGATACTTAAGTGAACTCTAAAGGCCAAGACACGCCGGGCCGATTTCGGCCGTCGATGAGCGTCGTGTCGCCCTACTCAGATTGATGTGTCCCGCATTGTCGTGTCTTTTCGGCCGTGCAGACACCTTTTTGGCCGAAAGGCTGTCGGTCAAATAAATCACTTTGATTGGCTGTTCAGCTTAGCGAATCAGTGCATGAAAAGCTAAACGGAAGTGAGGGACCCAAACAAACGATTAAGAAGGCACACACAGACGGCTATTCTTTTTCATTTTCATCTCAGCTGGACGCAAGAGTTTATTTTTCATCATAGCGATCTGGAATGAAGAAACCGAAGACCAACACACGCTATTTGTTGTTTATTTATATCACGCAGTCTGTTCCTCTTCTCTCGGTGTATCACCTAGCCTGTCTTACGGTTGTTGCCTCTTTTGAATGACGAATACACACTACCGCCGCTTGCTGGTAAGGAGTGGAGGAGATTAATTGCCACTCACGCATGCGCAGTTCGTATATGCTACTTGGCCGTCGGCTGAAGTCTTTGCGGTGTGTTCCAGTGCGACTGTTGGCCAAGACGCAGAGACGCGAGGCGACACAACAGTCGTGTTCCGTCGGGACGTGTTCTTTGGTGTCAGTTTGGTGTGTCTGGGCCTTAGGTTTCTCTGTTTCACAGTAGAATACATTCATGGGGTGTATGTCTTTTCAGTTCATTTTAGCATGTGTTCATTTGCCTTTGAATACTTTCAGTTCCACAAGAAAACACACCCAGCAAAGGTTTGAGAATTTCCTATAAACAGAATTAATATGGTGAATTGTAATGTGACAGTTACCCTTTTAGGACTGCAATTTGTGATTATTTTCATTACCCGTTTAATCTGATGTTTGTTGTTTTTTTTGTTTTTAATTAGTTTCTGTTATTGTTTAGTCGATAAAAAGTCAGAAAATAGTGGAAAAACTGCCATTTAAGTTTTCCAAAGCCCAAGGTCAGATATGGAAATGGTTTGTTTTGTAGTGCAGTCTACAAAGATATTTCATTTTAATTATCTAAAACAAAGAAAATAAGCTAATCCTCACATTTGATGAGCTGGAACGACTTAAGTCCTGATAACAATTTGCAATAGAGTAATTTCCCGTTCATCTACAACACATTTCCTTTTAATTTCCTAAAAAAAACTTTCTTTCACGGAATGAATAATATATTTTGATAATTATAATTTAGAGATAGAGTTTAGGTTCTTGGACTTTCTTAGAGAGTTATACGCAGTTATCCATTTCCAAATTGCCTTAAAGGAACTGCTCCATTTTAAATCAAACGTGGGGAAACTGTAATTGAACAGCTTTCTGAATAAATCGGATATGGAACATTTTAAAAATAACTTTGACGTGGGATTAAAGGAGCTTCAACAGAACCTCAGCAGGTGTCTTCAGCACAAATCTTTGCTACGCCCTGCTTTGAAGTGTCTCACCAAGAATAGATTATCCATATGCACTGCTGTGTTTCCCTGATGCTACGTCAGCTACAATGTCAAGTCATTGATAAGTCAATGGACGGAATGTTAATCATCAACCAGTTTGATAACTCATTAATCAACTGAAGTTTTTCAAAGAAAGATGGCAAACATTCTCTTGTGTCAGCTTTCCAAACATGACGATTTAATATAATTTTTTGTTGACCGTAAACTGAATATCTGTTGAGTTTTGGACAGTCATAAATAAAACTGGCTGTTTGAAAACATTTCATAGCGCTGTTGGCGAATTGTAACAGACCATCCTATGCTAAATATTTACCCTGTCATCAACAGCAACCATTTTTATCTGTTTTGAATATTACGTTTTATGTTCATGTGGTAAGATTACATTATAGACTTTCATCTACCTGAGCCAAACTGATGTAATGCTCTGAAACATCTTTGCTCTGACATGTACTTGTATTTGGCTGCTGTACAAAGCTGCCTGTGCTTTTGAAGAGTTTCTCTTGCCCTTTGTATGAAGCAAGTGCAACTGACCTCACAACGACAGGAGGAGATGACGTGCTGAGAGGTTTCTGAGCTGGCTGGATGCCTAACATCAATAATCATATCACAATCTGAAACCACTTAAATTGTGAAAAAAATAGTGGCAACCAAATAAAAATATTGCAGTGTCTTACTTCTATCCTGCATTCCTTGATATCTGTTTGGACCCATAGGGACAGTGCAACAAGCTGTAAACACAAACTTAGTCATGTTATCATGTAATAAAGTTGATATGGCAAACTCTACTTCTAGCTCCGCTCTTGGTCTCACCAATTTTAGGGTTGGGCCATGTAAATATGTTATGTTTCAATCTGAATTTGACCACTTCAAAGTTAAATTTAGCGCAGTGGCATAGTCCTCATCTTTTCTATTTGCCTGATTTTTTTTCTTCTACTTTTAGCTCCACCACCAATTTGAGGGTTGAGCCATGTAAACATGTTCCGTTGTCAATCTGAATTTTACCACTTGAGAATAAAAGTTCAATTCAATGCAGTGGCATAGTCCTCATCTTTTCTTTTTGCCTGATGTTTTGCATTGGAGGGGGGAGAGTCCCCTTGAATCCTCATTGCGGGGGTAGGAGGGTCAGGAGTGGTGTGTTTCTTGGCTGAACGCACCAGGTGATGGATGAGCCTTGAGGCTTGGTCTACGTTCTGGAACCTCCCCAGTCCCCTCCCAGAATGCACTGGTCAGGAACATGGCATTCTATTCCGGGCATCCGTCAGCAGCGCGCTCATACGTGTTATGTCCTGAAGTGTGCGGAGTACATTTGTCACAGCAGTGCTGACACTTTGGA